TTAATTTGGCCATCCACAATACACAATATCTCTGCGGAACACCTGCGAGGTGGGCACTAAAAAACACCTTGGCGATCCCCACCCCCCCCCCTGCTCAAAAAAAACCTAAAACGTTGGTATTTTATTTTCGTATCACCAAGTTACACCATTATTTATTTTAAAAAATGCTTTGTAAGTATGAAATGTCAACATTTTGCAAAAACTTATTGGGACATTCAATTCTATTTTCTCAGACGTGCAGCCCAATAACATGTTATTATGTAATACTTTCTTGGTTTTTGAAAAAATCAAGAAGTGTTCAAACGAAAACAAATTTGATGTTGAATGAACTTTAAGCGATTGTTGTGAACAGGAAAACAAAACAAAACGCTACACACAAGTTGCATGTATTATCATAAAAAAAAACATTTCTTTCCCTAAAAACTTTCACGCTTTTTTAATCAATTGCTTAATACTAAAATAATAACATTGCCACTTCAGGTGGAGAGACAGGTTAGAATTTTGTCTGGTTTCAATATTTGAAGAGTGAAAGTGTCAAACGTTCCAAGTGCCAAAGTATAAAAATTGTACTTTATAATTTGATTTGTATTTTATTCATTACCGGAAACAATTTTGTAAATTTTTCAAGTAAAGAATAGTAATTTATAAAAAAAAAAAAATTATATTTAAAACTCAAAAATATGTTAAAGTGTTTCCGGTAATGAATAAAATACAAATCAAATTATAAAGTTAAATTTTTATACTTTGGCACTTGGAACGTTTGATAAATTCACTCTTCATTTAGTGTCTGAAAAAGTGTTTACAATCTTTATCAGTCTAACATATTCAAGTGTTTATAGATAATACAAAAATCGAGTAGGTGCCATTTACAACATATGTAAAAAAAAAAAATCAAAATTTTTATCACCCTAATATCAATTTAACGTTAATTTTCTCTTAAAATAATAATTATTGTTATTTTTTAGTTTTACAGTTTTTAAATATATTTTAGTTTAATATGTTTTTTTCCAATATTTGACAATATTTAAATTTTTACCTTCATTTGTTTTTCTTTCTAGAGCCTTTTAAAACCTAAATGGCAAAAGTATATACTAAAATTAAATTAACCCTCTAAATTAAGAATAATTTTCTGAAAATGTTCTAACTGGTCGATAATCAGTTTAGGATGATTATTATACATACTTTCTTCTGAGATATTGACAAAAAAAATTTTAATTACTATATTTCTAAATATTGCATCTCTATTGAATCGTTTATTCAAAGTGTTATATTATGTAATAATGGATTTTTACAATAATAAAGCCTTGCCTGTATGTATATTTTATCATCTAGAGATTTCCATCGAAGGGTTTATTCGAAGTGATTTTATATTCTGTATTTTTTTTTTTTTTTGTAAATTATATTTTAACTCTTATTTCTATTGCACAAAAACATATACATTACCTAACGTTAATATATAAAGTGTATTTAATCTTTTAAAAGCGTTTTTTCTAAGTAAATTATTATTTTCCAATTTCAGAATGTTTTTTTAGACCGGCGTTAGTCTTCTAGACCATTACGGTTTTTTTTTTTTATTCTTGTTCGGATTCGGTTTTGGTATTTTTTTTTTCTACATCTCTTGCTCAATGAACGCATGTTGTAAATAACGCCAGTTATACATTGCATTATTTTACACCTACGGTTTACACAAAAACAAATAACACCCGGCTTGGCCTCATACTAAAAAAATATATATTATACCTACATTGACGATGGCTCATAATGAGCCTTATAATGACGGTTTAATAGTGTGTGCAATCACATACGACCGTGTCTTTCACCCGAACTAGATTATAATAATATATATATAATATGTATTTCCACGTGCGAGCGCATAATACCTACGTGTAATATAATATATATATAATAATAATATTATATTAAAAGGCGTTTTTGTGAGATTAATAAAAAACGCATCAGACAAAATCGTTTAGGTTACGTTGCGCGTCTGAACCGGATTTTCACTAATTATATTATTATGTGTCTTGTACATTATTGTTTATAATAAAAAAAAAACACATTAGGAATCGCAGTTTTCGCTACTAAACTCTACAACCGGACTCGTAGTAATTACTATAAAATATCACATATTCGCCATAAAACGGAGAAAGGGAGGGGCGAAGAGGGGTTAGGTTAGATACAATATTGAAAAATATCCTAACGTTGCTATGAGATTTAACCAACCTAAATCAAAACAGCCAGGCAAACGACGTGATGGTGAAGATTTGAATTTGGTTTGAGGTCTTAAACACTCTTCTGGAAAAATTTGACTGCAGATTGGAATTCAACGACCAGCAAAATATATTGTTATGAAATTTTTACAGCACTTACTTTTATGTATGTATATGGTTGTATCTGGCAGTAGTTGGGTAACGGAGACTAGGAGCTTTAGGAACTCAAATGAAAATATATTATTACAACTCCTAGTAAAAAAAAAAAAAGTCTCCAATGCCGAACTTTTACCAGATGTTTTATTATATACTGTATTTATGTACACACAAGTAAGTGCTATACAAATTTAAAGATGTTTAGTTCAAGCCCTAAATAGTCATAGACTCTTAAATATAGCATTTTTTAGTATAATGCCAAACTTTTTTAAAAGTTACTTTTACAGCATAAATTAAAAAAAAAAATTATGAATCAAAAGAGTATAGCTTGATGTGTCAGAATAAAAAAAAATTGTTTTGAAACTTTCACCTTGAGTTAATACAAATATTGAATAAAATTTATAAAGTTTTACCAATTTGTTTGTCAATTTTTAGCCACTTAAAAATTTGAAACTAAATTGTGTAAGTGCATTATAAAAAAAAAGAACAATTAAAAATACAACTGTTCAGAGAAAGTTCCAATACTATATCATAATTAGTCCTTAAGTAACGTGGCCGAGAACTTAAAGTTAGGTCCTAAGTCCAAAAAAATAATGATTTAAATTGTTTTCTTCACTTTTTATGGAACTATCTGCATAGGATATATAAGTTTGAAGCATTTAAAAAATCTACTGGCACACGTGTCAGGTGATTGGCATGGAATGACCCTAATGTGAACAAAATGTATTCAACTTACCTAGTTTAAAATACAAAAATAAATTTCAAGGTAAAGTAGTTTACTGCTATAGCAGTGTTATAAAAAAATAATAATAGTAGGGTCACTTTAAGATACTGCTGGTGTAGCAGCAATATTTTCATTGGTCTCTTATAAACAGAATGTTCTTGTGACCATATACATTCTAATTACTATATTGGACACTGTTTAAATTTAGACTATTTTTAGTTCAATCACACATTTTATATTTTTTTAATTCTGATAATTGGGTTGATGATTAAAAATAGGGGTATTCAACATTTTTTATTTAGCTTAGGTTGGGTTGTCAAATATATTATGATGTCAGGAAGAAAGTTTGAACGACTTTTTTTATAGACTTTTGAATTGTCTGCTTACACAATTATCAAAGTACATTTCATCCTAATATTGCTTTGAGTTTGAACGACAACACTACTTGTCAACGTGGGTGGATTAGACAATTCGTAAAAGGAAAATAAGCAAACTATAATATGTATAAAGTTCTACGAATTAGTACTTTTGTTTTAAACATGGAAATGTACACAGGAAATATAATATACATATGCACTTACATGCAGCGAAGGGTTAAGTTGTTATGATCACACTGTATATAGTTTTTATTTTGCGTTTTTCACCATCAATGGGTTTGTTGAAATCACTTGTACCTACAAAATAGTATAGAATGTAATACCTATTATCGTCATCACAACATCTAACAAATAATACAGACTTGAACTATTGTATTACCGAATAATATCCTGTGTGTTCGCACGGCTAAATGTTAAGTCATGTGAATATAATTTATTATAACATTGGCTTTGTAGTGTCAACATTGTCATTTTAACTTTATAATATCATATTTAACTGCGTCGTACATAAATAGATAAATATATACACTATTTTTTTTTTAATCGATTACAAGTACAATAATAATCACCGTACGGTTTACGGTAATAATAATAGTGTACAGAATAATCACTGGCGTTTACCGAACGTTGATGAAAAGCCAATACTATATAATTACACAGTGTGTGTGTGTATAACAGCTATCATAGTAATAATAATGTATTATTTGGCGATGGTTTGACGATATATGGTGTAAAACAGTCTTTGTTGGCATCTGCTACTTTTGTTAGATTTCACGTAGGTAACCATTGTTGACCACGGTAGGTAATGTGGTAACCGCACAAAAGCGACAATGCGCCATCGCGAATATATATAAATAGTGTGTAACACAACTTAACGGATAATGACGAACACGTGTAATTGTATATAATTGTATCGGCGTATAAAAAAAATAAACACCAAAAGGGAGGTCAAATTTAAGTCAACAGGAATAATTTTGTTATAACTGAAAGTGATAAAATCATTGATATTAATATTAAAAATAAAAATCAAGAAAACATATAACACACAGTGTACTTATTCTGGGGGAAAAGGGATTTTTGATATTATAGTTTTTTGGCCCCGACATCAGCTTGCCAAGTTCTCTCGGTTTTTTGTTTACAGTCCCTAAGGGCATGCAATCCATTCGGACTGGTCTATCTATCAATGTATATGTGTTACAAGCTTTTTATGTTCAAAAAATTGCCATTGAAATCTTCACCGCCCATCCCTCGAGACTAATAGGGCTTAAGCCCATTCTAGCCACTTTCAGTGACACTTCAGTGTCTTTCAGGTTTAAAAATAATAGTCGACAAGTAACTCTGGACTGGGAGCGGTCCAGCCAGACACAAGGATAGGACATCACGAGGACACGTGGGTAGTGATTGGACTGATCAGAAATTGAGGTAAATTTTACACACAATTATAAAAAAAAAAAAATAGTCGATAATGCTTTTTTTTATTTGAAGAAAATTTGATTCACACCATATTATTTACATTTATTTTTACGAAGCTCCGCTTCCTTCATCTTAGTGTACACTTCTACCAACGGTCTGTGCGGTTTAGGGACCGATTCTTCAGAAGGATAGTACAGTTTCATCCTGACCGGATTTTTCAACTGTTCCAAACGCTCGTTCCACATACGTTTCTTGTGGTCAAACTGTTTTGTACGGTCAATTTATAAATTAATAAAAAGATAATCGCCATTACAATGTGCAAGGTGTACGTACCTGATACTCTTTACGGCGCAGGAAATGCTGAAAGAAATAACCATTCATTATCAAGGAACCGCCAAATATCGCCCAGATCAAAGCACCTGATGGGTTTTTCCTCATCAGGCGCCATGAAATCATGCTGCTTAAATCCGGCGCCTCGTAGTGTACTGGTTTTATTCTGAACTTGTCGCACATTTTAATTAACTATATGTAGTACAAAAGAGTCTTGAATTGAAAATAATCGTAGGAAATTAAACTGTGTTCCAAACCGCTGATTGATTTGTTCAAATAAACACATACCATCGTTAAATTATTATTGTGTTGTAGGTTTTTTTTTGTTTTATATTAGCCAGCTGCACGACTCGTGTTAATTCTAAGTAGAAAATAATATTCGTTCGTTGTGATTGTGTAGAAATCAAAGACAGTGTACATTTTGCTTGAAAATCCACAAAATCGGAATTTATTTTAAAAGAAAGCGTCTGTCTTATTCTTAAGGGGACGTCGCACCTCAAAATAGTACTTTTGTATTTCCAATGGTATGAAGTCTACAATGCACGCAGGGATATAAATCAATAAATTGTTTGAAAGACGAGAACTTTAACTATGCTTTGTTGGAATTAGATTTAAAAAATTAGATTGTAATATACATTTGAATAATTACAAATATGCCCTTTCTTTGTGCCATATTGTTCCATATCCAAACCAACTATCGAAAATTGGTTTTCAACAAAACATAGAAAAAGTTCTCACCTAGAATATATTTTATAATTGGGTTTTTTTACTCTAAAACCATCCAGTAAGCCGTGTTTTTGGAATTGGGAAACTATGTTTAGATGAAAAAGATATTTAAAATCAACGACAAAGATGCTGCGATAGTCAGAAAAATAATAATTAACTGCCTAAAAAGAATTCTTATCACTAATCTAATAATTACAAATTACAATTTAAGCTTTTAATTGAGATTTTGCAAAAAATTGCCAGTACGATGTCCTCTTAATGAATCACCCTGTGAGTGGATTTGTGTGTTTATTATTTATGTATGGAAATTCTTTTTTTAACTATGCGTGTGGGATGCCATTATAATTATTTTCATTTTTCATAGTAAATTCGTTTTTAGCTTACAAAAAGTACTTACTGCAAACGATACGATTTACAACAGTATTAATTTCTTAAGCTATTGAAAGTCACAATAATAATAAAACACCTGGACACACCTTAGGCTAACCGGCGCCGTCGCACAAGGAGGGTATGCAAACTACTCACCATGGTGGCATGTAGTATTCTCCAGTAAAACTGTTGGTTATACTTTTTGGTTAACACTTTTTTTTATACAATGCAATAATGACGTCCTCTTGATAGTTTGTACGATTTTAATTTTTTTTAAATATATCCCTATTCCTTATGTACCTTAAGACCTCATGAACTTAACTTAAGCTCTATGCAAAACGGTGAAATGTGTTATAAGGATAAATGAAAATTGGTAGTTTGTGAAGAAGAATTCACGGTCTCAGTGGGATTTAAGTAAATGTATCACTTGCGCCATGAATTATTAATAGTTGTCAAATAATAAATTACTTTTACCTTAAAGAGTTCTAATAATTATTGCACTGTTCGAGTTGAGTTATCGGCTAATTGAATTATATACAAATAAATAATTGTCTACAAGCTTGTGTCTAAGGTAACTCTATCTAGATAGCTATCCGTTCTGGAGCTTGTCTTGTCAGCTCCATAATGTCCATCATTACCCCTTGAAATTCCATTGTCTGATTTTCATTGCCACAATCACATTCTGGACTATCTCTAAGTTCACCCACTCAAATACAAGAAAATATTACATAATATACATAACATATATATAAATATATTTCCAAAATTAAAAATTTTAATTTTCCATTCTCTGGTAAAACAGTGGTAATAAAATAAATGTAAATAATATAACAATTGACATTTAACAACATATTTCAGTCTTATAACTATTATTAAAACCACTTTTTTCTTAAATATTGTCAATACAAAACTCCTTAAAAATCAACCGCATGCAATCCCCTTATCTGGTTAGATTAACTATTGGATCATCTATGATCTAATTAGTGATATAAAAATCGATTTTTTTAAAATGTATTTCGCATATGATTCGAACACAATTAGTCATTGTTTATATGGAAATAAAACTTCCTACTTATTACATCAGATCTCAAGAAAAATTGTGTTTTTCTAAAAGTTATTATTTTAAAAAAAATTTCAATTTTTCCATTTTTTTCTGATCCTTAAGAAAAAACCCGTTTTTTTGGAAATTTTCGAGTATTTTGATCTCTACATTTGAGAAAACATAGAATTCTATAATACGTCCTGTTCAACAATCATATTTTTATCTAGGGCCTCCTTTCACCTTTTGGCGTTAAAAAATAAATAATTTTAAAAAGGTAATGTTTCAAAATGTAAGTGTAAATTGTAAAATTTGAACGCTTACCACTGATGTTAGCATAATTTCTCTATCACCAAACTTTTACCAGATGTTTTATTCACTTATAAGTAAGTATTGCATGAATTTGGAAAATTTTCGTTCAGTCACATTGGTGTTGTGGGTGATTAGAGTTGGTAGTTTTCAGCAAAATACCCACGTTTGAAGCCGTAAATTAATAGCAAAAAAAAACTTAATTAGTTCAAAGATGATATGGGTCATAAGAACATAACTTAAATTGTATATAAACAAAATATTTGCTTTTAATTTTTAACTTTTTGACCCCAAAAAAAGTTTTTGAAAAATTCAAAAAAAATGTAGGGTTAAAAAATGAAAAAATTAAATTACAGAGTCTGGAACATGAGGTGTTTTTGGATAATTTTTTTTAAAAATCGACCTACCTAGGTCCAAAAAAAAGTTTTTAAATTTTTTTTTGTAATTAAGAACCTATAAAGAACGTGTGATCAAAATTTCAAACATTTTTGGAAGTACAGCCATTAGGTGATTTCACGTGGAATGACCCGGGTAAAACTTAACGTTTTTTTTAATTTTTTTTTTAAGAAAACAAAATAGGATCTCGGCTGCATTAAAGTAGACCGTATTTTTCTTTCGACACCTCCAAAGCGGATTAGACGTCGGTTTGGACACGGTCGGGCCTATGTTTACTCAGGGTATAAACTGTGTACATGTTATACTATATTATATTGTGTTTAACGAGAAACGCGATAATAACAATAACAAAAAAATAATAATAAATAGTATTAAAAAAAAAAAAAAAACTCAGAGGCATATACTCGCAAAGGTGTTTGCCTCCCACGTCGCCTGGCGTGTGCACAACGTGTAGGTAAGTGTAAGACACGTCTCTCATACCTATCGTCGAATGTGTCTTGCGGGTACAAGATACGGTTATCCACGGGGAACGTGATTTGCACTTTTGCCCATTCACAGGGACCGTGTTACAGCGCCGTTGATTAATTTTCAATTGTATTTAAAAAAAAAAAAACAGCGGGCCCGGGGGTCTCTTTGTTTGATTAATTGTTTCTGGACACACGATGACGACGGTGATAACAATGATGGTCGCCCGAAGTGCCTATCCAGGGCGACTGGTGAGAGAGAGATAGGGAGAGAGATAGGGAGAGATAGCTGGATATTACATAGATAGCTGAAGGAGACGAGGGGTTTGTCTTCTTCTTGTTCTTCTTAAGGACGATATTGTGATGGTACAGAAACAACCGATAGCTTGTTAACGCGTTATACGCATTGTGCCGGCCCGTAATCGGTTAGTGACTTGTAGTTTTTTCGGTGCGTTTAAAAATTATTAATCACACCGCAGTTATCGATTCCACATACCCACGCACAACATTGATTTTGACAAAAACCCATACCCGGCTCGTGATATTATTGTCTTATGTACAGGGTGATCGGTGGACTGTACTTCAACACTTGGTCTTTCAAAAAATGTACACATTGTGTAAATACCTAGGTCCTACCTACATAGTGTATCCCTCAGTATCCCTCAGTATTTAAGGGAGGAGTGCTCGATGGGACAGTTGCACCTGGCGGTGTTAATATAAAGTGGTTTAGAGGCGCACATCTTTTATGTGTTAAATAATAATATTATGTTCATTTCCAGGGTTTAGTTAAAACGAAATTAAAACCCTCAAAAAAAAAAAAAAAAACATTATACAAACGAGTAAATTTATTAAGAAAAAAAAATGTATAAAACTATTCACAAATGAAATTTACAAGATAATATATTATCTATTTACAATGAATTTATAATGGTTTTAAGAGTTTAACTCTCCCCGAGTATTTTTTTTATATCTAAATTATTTTTTAGAAAAAAAAACGTTTTTAAACCGCTTTTCCCAACTAAATACTATCTATGTCTATTGTTTATGATATGTGTTATAAACTTCATCGAGCCTTGTAGGCCCATCAGTTATTACTATTTATATATAATACTTCTATAACCGATAATTTAATATAATGTGCTGTTTTTGCTAAAATAACTAAGAAATACTATTTTTATAGCCCAAATTTAAAATTCAATTTTTAATGCTAGTAGGGTAGACAGAAAGTGAAAAATTTCAGTGTTTTCCTCATTTAACGCGTTATAACTTAATCTAACCAAACGAATTATGGTATAACCTCTAGAGAAGATTTTGAGGTTAGAAAATGAGCCCAGATTGGACTTTTTTGATTACTAACAGTAGTGTATATTGCACATAATCGGTTAACCGGTTGGCGATTATATTAAAAAAATTCCAATTTAGTTCAGTATCAATTTTGTTATATGTGAGAAATACCATACAAAATATTATGTCTATTGTATATCTACTGTTGTTTAATGCTTTAATTATCTTATTACTGTACTTGAGTAAATCCATATTTGCACAAGTATAATAATAAATAAATAAATAGTTGACATCTTAAAATTGTTCATATGTCGATTGGTTAGCCCAAATTTAAATAATTATTTTTTTTTATAAATCAATAATGGTGTATAAGTAATTTTATTTTGTGTCTTCTGGGTTCATTATCAGGAAGTATAGTTGGTTTAATAGGAATAGCTGAAGGTTAGCTGAATAGGTTTAACTGAAAGAGCTTAGATTAAATTGGAAATTGGAATATTGAAATCTACCTAACCGGTCCTGTGAAATTAAGATACTAAAATGGTAACGTATAATATTATATCAACTTTTTTAGTTGGAAATAAATTGCTGAACATTTC